GCCTCCTGTACCAGTCGCTGGTGGTCGGCCTGAAGCGCCTGTAGCTTCTCCTCGAGCGAGTCCGCCTGTGCCGCAGCCCTGGACACCTCTCCCCTCTCCAGATCCCGTTCCTTCAATAGTTGGCTGATGTGGTCATCCTTTTCCTTGATTACGTCGTTCAGGGCCGAGGAGGTGGCCGTCACCTGAGCCGCCACTGACGGTTTGCTGCCTACCGGTGCCCATGTGATGGACAGACAGGTAATGGATTAGTGCATAGTTTTTATATTTACTAAATAATAGATTATTTAATCATTTTTAAAACAATTTATAATTTATAGACTAAACTACAGGTGCTGTTCACGAGTACTATCTAGTGGTTAATAAATAAAATAAACTACCTGTGCAGTGAAAAACTACCTGTGCTTTAATAATAACTCGCATGCACTGCAAAATGCATACCTTTATGGGCGGAGGACAGGGATGTGACGCCTAACCGGACCCTCGGCCTCGTGGACGACGCCGTAGACGACGCTATCGAGTTAAGGGACTCCTGACTACCACCCGACCTCTGCCTACTGAGCCCAGTGCCCGGCCGTTTCGGTAGAGCACCGGTTGTCGACTTCTTAGACGACACTTTAAGCGCCGATAGGGGCGCCGGCGCTATCTTAGACATCGGGGCGAACAGGCCGTACCTGTCCGGGCACTTGAAATACCGTTTCCCGGCTACCGATCCGTCATTCTTGCCCATCGCCTCATCCAACTCGACACCAGCCCAACGTCCCGGTGCGAAGTCGGCCGGCCCCAGGAATCGCAACGTTCCCAATTTAGTACCGGTGCTCGCGTTCACCAGTACCCTATCCCCTACAGCGAACTTATGGTCGTATCGTCCGGCGCCGTACTGACTGCCCGACCCATTCGTCGAGCCACTGGTGTTCGCGCCGTTAGATTTGTTAAGTCTGTCCCCATTAGTGCGCGCCGAGGGAGGGCTGGAGGGTGTCGTAGCGTTAGGGCTGTTGTTATTACTACTGCCGGAGGAGCTCTTCGCCGACTTCGGCGGGTCTTCGATGGCCTGTCGTGTGAGCCGCTGAGGCCTCACAAACACGCCATACCGGGGCTGACACTCGAAATACCGGACCCCGGCTACCGATCCATCATTCTTGCCCTCCTCGCCGTCCAACTCAACTCCGGCCCACTTTCCCGGTGCGAATTGGGTGTCCCCTAAGTAGCGTATAAACCCCGGGCGCTGTCCGTTCACCCATACCCTGTCGCCCATCGCGAAGTCGTCCACGTTTTCAGTGAGTATCTCGTTGGACGACTGCGAGCGCCGTAGTGTAGGCCCGGTAGTCGACCGCACCGTCGACTGGGTCTCACTGGTGGCCGTCGAGTGCAGGGATGTGTTACTACTGGCCGCCGATCGGGGCAGGGATGACGTGCCCAGTGAGGGCTGCTTCAGTGATTTGGTGCTCTTTGATGGTGATGTAGGCGCTGTTGTCGAGGATTTTGTAGACATTTTTTTAGGGGGAACGGTATGTGTTTTATATGATATAATTGTTTTGATTATTTAATATATTAATGATTACTAGTCCAGCGAGTTATGGATACTTGTGGTGATTATGTAATGCTTTTGATCTGAAATATGAATATAAATAAAAAAATTTAGAAAAATGTTAATTAATTTTGATTTTTTAATCGTAAAGCTATTTGTGATTGTAATCAATATTATGCAACGATTATCGCAAATATGGTTTTGTATTTCATTGCCATTTCATATGATATGACAGAATAATTATTTTTGACAACAGATTCATGTCAACCGATAGTAATTAAAAAGTTTTAATAATTTTTTTGTAATAAATATTTGTAACACCATATATAGTATACTGTACACTACAGTACTACTCCAATTGATAATGTTATATAAAATCAATACACATAAATAATTAAGTTTCAGATTTCAATTGTAATTATTTTTCAAGATTTCTAAAGCAACTTTGAATCTATACATACTTTAATAATATGCAATAAATTAATAATAATATGTAATTATCCACAGATTGACAGTAAGAAAATTAAACATTAAATTATATGCAAAAAACACCACAAATTCCTAAACCATATAAAGTCATTGAAAAACATTGAAAATTATATGTAAAATTGATTTGAAATAATTTATTACTAGTTACCAGTCTTTAGACAATTTTATATTTTCAATAGTAATTCATTTACTGACTCTTTATACTAGAAATTAATACATAATAATAAGTGTAAGCAAAATATGTGTGGTTTTTATTTCTCAAGATTTTTATCGAGAAATTCATGACTGAAATAAAAGGGAAAAATTTAAATACAATTAAACCACAAATAAAAATCATATGAAATAATAATCATAATCCGTTATTTTCATTAACATATCGCTAGTATCTATCACATGTTTAGTGGACATTAAAAAATATCCTAAATTAACAGTGTACAATATTAATACACTAATAAAATCAACAAATAATACCCTATTATAGCAACATTTGAGTTAATCGTGTCTACATTGTATACAATTTAATTACGTGTATGATGTATATAATTAGCTAGGCTAAACAAAAGTGTGTGTATGTTTTCACCATTTGTTTATTGAGTTATCACTTATCGATGTGAAAAGTAAATGTGATTTTTTATGGGCGAAACACTCGTAAGAAATATACATTAGATTTCATGAAAAGTCATGCAATCGTATGAATAAATTGCGATTAAATTATTGTTTAAGAGATGTTTAATAATAGCTATTATTGCGATGACAAGCAATGTATTGTAAATAAAATGGTTTTTTGTGTTCATTAAAGTTATCGATTGAAAGGATTAGTCTTACAATTCATTTGAATAAAAGGGGAAAATATTTTTCTCAAATAATTTTAAAGACTTTTTGTTAACTTTTTTCATTAATACTAATTAATTGCTTAATTACACGATTGTTTACCACAAAAAAAATATATTTAATGAAAATTAATACTATAGAAAATACTGCCGAGAAGTACAGTATATTATACATAGGAATTGGGATTCAATTTAAATCTTAAGCCAAAAACTGCAAAACAAATAACAGATGTTTTATGATTAGCACCGATAGGTAAGTGAGAGGGGCATGTATTTGTATTACCAGTGATGGGCACCGGGTGTTTGCATGTCTGTCCCACATAAGGGGTTGGTGGCAAAGTATGGGTAAAATTCTGTGAATCCTAAGATAATTAGTATTTTTATGGAAAATATTTTTCTAAGAATATTCTTTTGGGTAGAAAATGTATATTAATGATGGCTAGTAGGGGACAGGGATGCAAACCTCCCGGTGCACTCATATGTGCGCTCAAACATAATGCAAATATACCTGTAATATAATATAACAGGTAATTGTAATTAATGAGCGAATAATATGTGGAAATAGTGTTATATAGTGAGTGTATGTGAGTGAGTGGAAAGGTATGTGTCTGGGAATGGTATGGAGAAAGTCGGTCAATAAGTATTGCGTGAATACACGAGAGAGAGAGAGAGAGAGAGAGAGACGAGTGTTTCGATTAAACTTATTATACAGATATGGAAATCGCATAATAAATATGAGAAAAAAGTTTTTAAAACAACAAAATATAATGAAAACATTTTTAACCACTTATTTCTCTCCGCAAGTCATGCGAAATAAAAATCAAATTAAATATTAAGTTTGAAAAATGAATAAAAATATTCTCTCCCCTATTATATGTGTGTTACACATGTTTGCCATTTATAGTAGTAGGGTATTTATTTTAGCAGTTAGCATTTTTGGTTTTTGTTTGTCTTATAAACAGTGATAAATAATAATAAAATAATAAAACTGCTTTTTATTGTGCTTAATGTGTACTTAAATGTAAATTAAAAGTCATCGTAAAACAGTATAATATGTGTGTGTTTTCGTAATTAAATAATAAAATTTGTGAAAAAACACTAAAAAAATTATTGCATAAAAGGGATTTACATAATATGAAAACATTTTATAAAAATATTTAAGTATTATATAACAGTAAAGTAATAGACTTTTATTCATACTATACATAACCAAAACTAATCATTCATTTGAGTTTAAGGTTTGGCTACAAAAAAACTTTTTTGCTATTCATTTGATTGCAACAAAATCATCAAATATTTATACACAGAATATAAATATTATACTAAAAAATTCAAATCAAAATCTAAATACAATTATATCGTGTACTGTAGACAATAGGAAAGCCTATAATAAAATTGAGTTCACTATAAGTCATATAATGGACACGAATTGAGAGCATAATATACACGAAGAAAACATTTTGTGGCGAAAAGCCTTTTGGAAAAAACTTTTTGGCGAAAAACCCTTTTTGTACTCAAAATGTGCGTAAAATCGCGTATAATATAGCGGTTTGCGATTAACACACAAAAACTATTCATTCAATTAATTATGTAAAAGCGTATAAATAAAGTCATTAATTGTATAAAAACAAAAATAATAAATATTTCTTGCTTGCTAATACCTTTAAGGCAATGGCATTACACACATGTTATCCGACTCATTGAATACAGTGAACGGTTGATTAAAAATTGAAAAACTTTTTTCTCAAACAAAACAAACTTTTTGCTGACATTTCATTATATAACAAACTGATGGGTGAGTCGGTGTATAATGATTATTATGATTATATAATATACTAGTAAATCACATACGAGTTTAAAAGTCACACATCATATATACACTGGTAATCAATTGGCAAAACACGGCATCGAAAGTGGGGTTAAAATGTATTTAACATTTGAAAAGCAATACGTAACACAACTTATGGAAAAACAAAACACAATAAAAAGTTTTTTTTACATAATTTATACCAAAATATATAGTTATAAAAAAGTTTGTTTTCACCAAAAAATACTATTCAACACAAATATTACATACAGTACTGTATATGTGTTTCACATAAGTCTCGACTTGTAGTGATAATTCATATATGAATTTGAATTTACAAAACAGACAATCAATTAATATGTGAATATAAAAAACTCATTGAAACATAAGTCATGAAAATGCGTGAAACAAATAAAAATTATTATTATTTTCTTAATTCATACACACATTTACATCGACATAAAATTCAAACACAATTCATAGCGTAGATAATATTAAATATATATAAAAATCCTGAACACAAAAAACAACAAAAAACTTTTTTCGCACTCAAAACAAACGGCATATAAATTCAAGAGACATAATATGCAAAACTTTTAATACAATAGCCTATGTCTATGGGGACAGTACTCCTAATCCATAAGCCCTACGATAGAGTGATAGAGAGACTACACCTTTAGGTCTTTGGCACAGGTATTAGAAAAAAGTCAAGTCCTGGTGTAATGAAAAAAAACATTTTTGGCGACTTTTAGCCGGAAAATGCGATAGAAATCGTTGATAAACACAGTTTTGAATGCGATATTCAACTCATATTTTTTAATTGTGTTGGCGTTTGGAGTACTGACTGTATGTCTCTCCTATGTATGGCATCCCATATATGGCATACACGGCACACAAAATGTGCAATGATTTTGCATACGAGTGCACAGGTATGTGACTATCACTGTGCACAGGTAGATATATGGCAGAGTCAGAGAGAGATTGGGAACTACACCTTTTAGATAGGAGTTTTTAATATGGGATGCAAAGGGGGTAATAAATTGCGGAGGGAAAGGGAGGTAAGAGTTGTGGCGATAAATATTTATTTAGTTTTGAGAGCACAGGTAGTATTAGCGCGAAGTGCTTGTCATGTAATTGACATAACAGTCTCACAATGTATTGGTTATTGATATGTGTATTCATTATGCATTTGATGGCAAATGTGTTAAAAAATATTGTTTTGTGAAGTATTTTATGACAAAAATATTGATTTGATTTTTGGTTTTACAAATATTTGTTATATAATGCTCTCTCTCTCTCTCTCTCTCTCTCTCTCGAGTTTCAAAGGGTTAAGTAAATACTTATCGAGAGATTCATTCATAAAAATTAAACACAAAATTCAACCATAAATTGGAGTAAAATTTGTAATAAATTTTGGATTTGAATGGAGAGAGAGAGAGAGGAGAGAGAGAGAGAGTTACATAAAAAAATTAACATAATAATTACGATAATATAGATTAAGATTTAAAAAACTTTAATAAAACAAATTCTAGTTCACAGTCAAACCCATGCATCCAATAGTGTATTGAAAAAAGTTTATAATCAAAACGATAAATAAAAAATAAAACTATATTAACATGCATAAAAACTAAAACTTTAAAACCATAATACACCCACATTTGATTAATAATAATAAAAAAAGTTTTTACAAAAAAAACACACCAATACTTGTAGACAGTATCCGAGGGTTTAATACACTATATGGCGAGTGAGTGGTGTATAGAGTACTCAATGAATGCATAATTAAATACAATTAATCACTCCGTAAGACTTGCCAGAGATTTATGTATGAGTTATGT